GTTGGGGAATGGCTGAACAAGTTGTGAATTTGACCTATTGTGCTTTGAGAAATGATGGGGGGGCTCAGAGAAACCTGGGAAGAATTACATGAACTGCTACAAAGTGCAGTGAGCAGAACCAGGAGATCATTGTGCACAGTAATGTTACAATGATGATCAACTATGAAAGACTTGGCTACTTTGAGCAATGCAATGATCCAAGACAATTATAAAGAACTCACTATGAAGAAATTCTATCCACCTCCAAAAGAGATCTAATGAACTCTGAGTGAAAATTGAAGTATAATTTTCTGGCTTTCCTTCTCACTTTCTTCCATACAGGTGATATGGAAATATGTTTTGCATGATTTCACATGTAGAATTAATATCATTTGCTTACCTTCTCAGTGGATAGGAGTAGGAAAGAGGGAAAGAATTTGGAACTCAAAATTTTAAAAGAAAATTAAAAAAGAAAAGAATGTTACAACTAAATAAATTATAAGTCCATTTGAAAATAAATGTCTTGGCCACTCAAAAAATTCTATACAGACACTAGCTACTATTATTCTTATTATTAAAGTAATGTGACTTTTTTTCTGGACAAGTGGCCTTTGGACCTGACCTAAGTCCCACAGGAGTCAAGAAATCTAATCTGATTTTAGGAAACAGAGCCAGCCTAATGCTGGGCTGCCCGTTGCCTCCCACCCCCTTTTAGGAAGGGCTAGGCTGGAAATGAATGGCCATCCCCATTGGCCCTGGTTCTTCATAAAGCCCATTTGCTGCACTACCCAGAATGACCAGGCGGTGGCATTGCTGCGCTTCTTTCTGGGGCCCTCAGGCTGTGGGCAGCCGCTGGCCCAGGGCCCAGACCACAGCAGGAGGTCCAGAACACTTCCAGCTGCTCCCAGGAAACTCCCCAGAAAGCGGAGAAACTTCAGCCTGAAGGAGGCGTGGGCGGGGGCTCATTTCAAACACAGCACCCCCTCCACTCAGTCGGCACTAGTGTCTCCATGCGTGGGAGCGTACTGTTTCCATGCCTCACCCCCTCCCCAGCCCCAAGGGACAAGTCCCTCCTTTCTGGACCTCAGTTTCCTTCTCTGTAAAATGAAGAAGTGCAACTGGATGGTCTCTGAGGGCCATTCTGGCTCCGAGAACAAAATTCTGTGACGGGAGGAGCTGGCCCCCACTCAAATGGGGGCTCCCTGAAGCTGGGGCATGGTGCTCCCTTCAGATCAAGGGCTTTCCAGAGCAGGGGGTGGGGTCCTACTCCCTTTATGGAGGTTCCTCAGGACAATGGTCAGGACAATCCCCTCAGATGAGGCTCTCCAAGGCATGGGCTTGGTTCCTGCCTCAAACAGAGGCTCCCTCAGCAGAAAATGGACAGAGGCCAGGGCTCCCTCCTCTGATCAGGGGGCTCTGCAGGGGTGGGCCAAGTGTCTAACCTTAAGATGGGGCTTCCCCTTAGATCAGGGGGCTCTCCAGGGTGGTAGACGCATCTTTAAATGGGGGTCTTCGTCTAGGGCAGGAGCTAATCTTCCCCAAGGCGGGGGTGGGGGGTGGGGGGTGACTTCTAGGGTGTCAAGGGCCACTTTTAAACTGGGGCCTCTGTCTAGGGCAGGAGCCAAGCAGTCTTCCCCTGGGGGGGGGACGAATTTCTCGAGGATGACCGGAGCCACCTTGAGATGGGAGTCTCCCCCAGGCAGGGCCTTAGGATTTGGGGGTAAATGGAGTGGACAAAGTTTAAAGGTCCTGGCGCCAAGCACCAGAGCGCGTCGGAGTCCCGCACCCTCATCCCCACGGATCTGCTGCTGGGGTGATGTGCAGAGGCCGGGGAGGGGGGGAAGGGGGTTTCAAGAGGAGCCGTGACCCCGGGCCAGGGGCGATTGTCCTCAGAAGGCAGCCTCCGGATGCGGAGGATGCAGCAGCTGCCCCTGCCCGGTCTCTCCTCGCCCAGGACCTCGCTGGCCCGGCCCAGCTTCCCGGGCAGAAGCGGGGGTAGGGGGGCGGGGGCCGCGGGAGGCCTAGAGGGGGCGGAGTTTTCCCAGGCTCGGCTCGCTGGCCTCCCTCCCAGAGGCCGGACAGGGCGGGGCGGGCTGGGGCGGGACCCGCGACTGCTCCTCCGCGAGCGGGGCCCGGGGCGCCTTGGCACGTGCTCTCAGGGACTGGGAGCCGGGCGGGGGCGGAGGCCGAGCGCGCGTCGCGCCCGCCCCCGCGCTCCTCAGCCCGACCTCAAACCCGCAGGCTGATTGACAGCTCAGGCCCCAGCCAGCCAATCAGAGTGGGCCCGCCCAGGCCCGCGCGCGCCCATTGGGTTACCCGCGTGGGCTAGGCGCAGCCGCTTCGCGTGCCTGAGCTGCTGTGGCCACAGCTGGAGGAGGCTTGGGCCGCGCCGGGGCTCCTGGGAACCTGGAGGTTACCTTGGCCGGGCCCATGCACTTAGCTGCCTCTCAAGGCTAGTCCTGCATGCCAGGCCCGGAGGATGCGCAGTTGGCAATGGCTATAAGTCCCAACAATATTTATAACAATCATACTACAAGAAAAATTGATATTTGTATGTCATTTCAGAGTTTACATTTAGGCAGTCTTATCTGAATCTTACAACACTGGGAGACAGGTACTCTGATATTACCCTCATTTTATAGATGGTGAAACCGAGGCTCAGAGAGGTCCCCTAACTGTCAGGGTCTGGCCAGAACCAAGTCTTCCTGACCAAGTCCCGCCCTCTAGTCCAGGTGTCAAAACCCAGCACCTTCTTTTGAGGAAACAAGTCAGTAGAAAGAATGAGGTTCCCTGCCCACGTGGGACTTTTCTGGTTGGGAAGACAAAAGCAAGCAGAACAATATGGTTTCCATTAGAGTACTCGCCCACTACGAAAGTGGGATCCAAGAATGCTTCCCGATTGAAATCTTGGGCTTGGCTTTGAATGATCAAGGCAGGCAGAGACAAGAGGATAAAAATTAGACTATTGTCACTAGTTAAGTACTTATTCTATGTCAGGCCAGGAGATTCCAATACAAAAATCAAGACAGGCCCTGCCCTCAAGGAGCATACTTTCTACAGGAATCAGAAAAGAAAAGGGCCTGAGTCAGGATAGGAGAACCACTCCCTCCCCCAGCGCTTCAACCATCTGATCCTGGGACTTCGGCACTATTTCTGTGGGGATACCAAGAACTCTATTGACTCACTCAGGTTCCTGAAGCTATTTAGTGTCTGAGGTAGAGTTGAACTCAGGACTTCCTGATTCCAGGTCTAACACTCTATGCACTCTGCTACCTGGTCTTCTGGGAGAATTGGATACAGTCATTCATTTGATGTTTATTAGGCAACTACAGTGTGCAAGGCCCCCCTACTGAGTAATAATAGTGTAGTCCAGTGCCTTGCATCGCTAGCCACCTTTTATTCTCACAACCCTACAATTACCCTTCACATTTGTTTTATGTGTGGGGAAATTGGGGCCCAGAGAGGTGCACCCACTTGCTAATGAATGAGTGGTGAGGCCAAGATGGGAAACTGTCTTGATTCCTAAATCAAAGGCTATTAAGTTACAGGGTTGAGTCTACTGAGCTCCCAGAATACTAGGACTGGTCTGCCTGCAGAGCTTAGCATAAAGTTTAAACATTTGCTGAATGAATGAATGAATGAATGATTCTCCAGGCTGTGGTGATCTCTCCCTTTTCTCCCCTTCCTAAAACATGTGGATGCTTTCTGCCTCTCGCCTGTAGCCTTATCATGCTTCCCCTGAGCAGGCTGTAAGATTCCCCGAACAGGGACAGTCACTTTTCTGTCTTGGCTCGGCTGCTCCCAGTCTAAGGCCTGACACCACCCCGCCCCAGCTTAATAAATGAATGAGCTGAAAAGCAGGTTGAGGAGTTCGGATTTGAGTGATAATTAATGGACTAGGAGAGCCAGGTAGAATCTTGAGCAACGAGGGACTTAGGCAGTTTACCGATCATGGCTCCCCGAAGCCTGTGCGTTGGCCAGGGGGACCGACAGTAAGTGGCAAAGAGCACCTGGCCTGCTGCAATAGTCCTGCAACTGGAGGTGATGAGACCTGGATTAGGGTGGGGGCGGTGGAGACCGAGACATCCCGAGGTCAATCTGAGTCCCTGCTGGGAGAGTTCAGATTCAGAAGGTGGAGAGCAGAGCCGGAGGGTTATTGTCAAAAATTGCTCCCAGGTTATAGGCCTGAAGCCGGGAAAAGGAGGTAGCTCGGTTTTCCTAAAAGCCAGGCGTTTCTACCTCCCCTCTCCCTCAGACAACCAATCAGTAAGCGTTTATCGAGTGCCTACTTTGTGCCTACCCGATTTATGTGAGGAGATAAAGATACCAAAGCAAAGCTGGGATGGGTTCTATTGCTTGAAGAGGTTAGTACAGAGTGGAAGGACTAAATAGCCCCTTTGGGGAAACCTTGGCTTGCTCACCAAGAACATGCCCTTCACAGCCTGTCCAAGGCCTCTGCCGGTGCCAGGCGCCGAGGGTGAGCTGGACTGGCCAGATCTAGGAGCCTTCCCCGCCCAGGCCTCTCGGGAGAAGAAAACAGAGCCAGCCGAGCAGCTCTCTCTCCCTGGCCCCGCGCCCAGCCCTCGGGCGGTGGGTCCAGCAGGCGCACCCGCCAGGCGAGCCGCACGCAGGCAGGCTGGGTGGATGGGTAGTAGGTGGGAAAGGGAAGGAGAGGGAGGGAGCGGCGCGTCGGGGAACCGCTCCGCCTCCCTCCCTTCCTCCCTCCCCCGTGCACCATCCCGGGGAGGCGGCCGCCTGCCTCCAGCGCCCCGGGCCCTTCCTTTTGTCCGCTGTCCCCGACCTCCGGCTGCACGGGGGGAGGGGGGGAGGCCAGCGCGTGACTGACAGCTCGCGGGGGCGGCGGCCAATCGCGGGCCGGCCTGGGGCTCCCGGGAGGCGAGGCGGGCCGCCCATTGGCTGGCGCGAGTGTGGGAAAGAATGCAGAACGGGTTTCACACGAATGGGTGGCGGCGGTGACGGCGCGGGCATAAATAGAAGCGGCGGCGGCGGGAGCGGGCGCAGCGCGGCGGAGCGCGGCACGAATCTGACGGCTCCTTAGCTCACTGCTCTGGCCAAAGAGCGGGGAGGGAGGCGACGGGGAAACACACACGCCAGGCAGGGAGGGCGCGCAGAAATTGGCACGCACGTAGTCCTGCCGGTCCAGAGGCAAGGATAGAGACCTGGCACACGAGTCTCTACAAATTCCCCTTCAGCTAGGTCTGCCCTTATTCCTCTCTCCCACTGCCGCAAGTTTCAAGCAGCCTTCGCTGGCAATCCGGACCCGGGCCGTCCTCACCCCCCACCCACTAGGCACTAGGTGTGTTCGGAAACCTTGGGCAGAACCCAACCACAATTTTTTCTTGCTTACGATGCCGGCGGACACCCTGGAGAAGCCGAGGGCCTCTCCTCTGGCTGGAGCGCCGGCCAGCGCCAGCCAGACGCCAGACAAACCCAAGAGCGCGAGCGAACACCGCAAGGTAAGGGCTGTGGTTGCAGACCGGAGGGCGATTCTGGAACTGTTCCCCCGGGGGGGGGAGTTCCGGGGCCGGTTGTGCAAAGAGATGCTCAGCCCCGAAACCGGCCATGGATTGATCCCATCCTTCTCTTTTGCTCTGCAGTCGTCCAAGCCCATAATGGAGAAGCGGCGAAGAGCTCGGATCAATGAGAGTTTGGGCCAGCTTAAGACCCTTATCCTGGACGCACTAAAGAAAGATGTAAGTGTGAAGGCGCGAGCCAGGAGTGGGGGGGAGGGGGTCGAAGGGGAGGGGGAAAGGGAGACGACTTGGGTTGTCTGTTAGAGCACGGCCTCATCTGCATACCCTGTGTTCCCCAGAGCTCCCGCCACTCGAAGCTGGAGAAGGCAGACATCCTAGAAATGACTGTCAAGCATCTGCGGAGCCTGCAGAGGGTCCAAGTGACAGGTAAGCCTGCCCCTTGTGTATGTGTGGGACCAGGGAGTGTGAAGTCGGGGTGACTGAGCCTTGCTGCCCGCCACGAGTTCCCCCCTAATCTCGACTACTATCTGTTCCTAGCTGCCCTCAGCGGTGACCCGAGCGTCCTAGGCAAATACCGCGCCGGCTTCAACGAATGCATGAACGAGGTGACCCGCTTCTTGTCCTCCTGCGACGGGGTCACTTCGGACGTGCGCTCTCGCCTCCTGAGCCACCTTGCCGCCTGCCTTAACCAGCTCGGACCCGTGCGATACACGCCTCCCGGAGTTGGTCAGCCCTCACATCTGTCTCAACCGCTGCACGTCCAGCTTCCCGGAACCGCGGCTACCGCTTCTGCCCAGTGCAAAATGAGCCCGGCTGGTGCCTTGTCGCCCAAAGTGTACGGCGGCTTCCACCTGGTGCCGGCCCACGACGGCCAGGCTGTAGCTTTCCTCATCCCCAACCCCGCCTTCGGGCCTGCCCCAGGCTCGCTGCTCCCGACCTACCCCAGCGCTGCAGCGGCTGGGGGAGGTCCAGCCACGGGGGCAGCGCTGGCAGGCGCCCCTCCTCCCCCTGCAGCCGGTGGCGCCACCAGCTCGCCGGTGCACGGCCTCACCTCCCTGGGAGGCAGTGGGCCCAGGGCGGGCAGCCCCGCGGAGGACAGATGTGAACCTGTCTGGAGGCCGTGGTGAGCCGCCGCAGCCGCTGTCAAACCTCTCTTGCTCAGACTTTGCCGGGGAGGAAGAGGTGCCGCAACCCCCAGGCCCGCCCTTTCTCGGAGGGAAGCCTCTCTTGTCCAGTTAGTTCCGTTTTATGGGACGCTCGAGTGTGTCGGGCAGACGAGACTTATTTATTTCCACAGGCTGGAGTTACGCGTCGTCGAGTCGTGACTTGTTCTTGGTGTCAATGTTTTTTACATAAATGCCTTCTTGGAAACTGAAAAGGTCCCTCGTTTTTGTAGCTGCCGCCGCTGACCTCAGACCCCCAGCTAGCAACATGTAGCTCGGAGGTCTGGGTCTTCATTTGGTCGGGTCTGCCTCGGGGTTCCAGCTGCAGCCTGAGTTCCTGTGAAACAGCCCCTAATTAGGGCCGGGGTGGGGGTGGTGGGAGATGGTGACAAAGGGAGAAGAGGGGAAGCAACTTTCTGGGATCGCCTGGCTTAACTTCTTCCCGCCACCTCTTCCTTGCCCCGCCCCTTACCCGCCTCTAGAAAGAGTGGGATTGGTGCAGAGAAGTGCCCCTTGCTTCCCTCACCCACCCCTTCTCAGTGGGATCCCGAGGAGGGCCCACTGAAAGATGGTGGAGGGGTGGAAAATGTGAAAGCCCGGTTTTGCATCCCTTTAAAAAATAAAAGAGACGGCAGCATTATCTTTAATCCTAAAGTAGCTTCCCGCTTTAAAAAGCAAATTAATGCTCTTAACTGGGGGGTTGGATCTCTTCCGGCACCATTGATCCATTTCCACGGCTTAACTGCTGGCCTTGGATGGTCCCAAGTTCGCTGGGTTGGAGGGGGAGGGGCACTTAGCTTGCTTCATCCTAGGCTTCCACTTCATCACCCTTCCCAGGACGGAAGGAAAAGTTGTAGGCTATAAAGCAGTGATTTGGCCAAGGTCAATAAACCAGACTCAGAGCTCCTTCAGATCCAGCGCCAACCACACATACGCAGTGCCTATGATCTCCGATGACCTCAGCCTAATCTTGCCTGGGAAAGTCCAGGACTGAAAAACAGGGCAGGCTCATATCATCTCCTTAAGAGCTCCCAGAGCCAGAGCCCTTTGACTGCCCTAAGAGATACTATCCCTCTGGGGTCCTTCCTCACTTGCTCACCAGTGAAGAACTGGTTGGAAGGCTAGATAAGAGAAAGTCTCCCGCAAGAGCGAATGAAAAGGGGATAGAGCAGGGCAAGGTATATCCCGGGCATCCTGGGATTCCAGTAGACAAGATCACTAGACCATACACTAGGAGTGGAGGAAATTCAGGACCCTGGGGCTATGAGGTCAGCTGTCTCCGTAGGGCAGGGGTGGAACCCTACCATCCAGGGATCTAGATAGGCTGGGTTTCTTAGGCTCCGGAATGCAAACACCTGACCCCATGTCTCCCCTGTGGGGCTACCCTGTACTGGGGGTGGGAGTGGGGGAGGAGTTTCCAGGTTCACCCTGGCCTCACACAGAGCCTCCCCGTTTGCCCCATCCCCCACCACCACCAGCCTGACCTGACCTACCTACCTGAAGAGGAAAAGAAATGTTAGACCCAGAGAGGTGGAGGTGAAGACTGGCCCAGGCTCTCTCTGCGGGTGGGAAATCCCCCCCCCCCCCCGCTAGAATCCCATTTCCCTACCCCCAGGAGCTTAGCTCCCAGGCTGTTTTCTGGCTCAGCTAAGGAAGAGTTTGCTTAGGCTGAGGCAAATAACACCAGATTTAAAACCCAGATGTGCCTCCATATACCGGTGAGCCATGACTGCACTTTTTGTATGTATATAGGCTTGTGTTCTTCTGGATAGCATTGGTCTATAGAAGTACGTTCATAATAACTGATAATTCTATAAATTGCGAGCTGGAACAAGTAAGGCAACTAAGGCCCAGAGTGGTGCCATAAATAGCAGAAGTGAGATTTGAACCCAGGTCCTCTGAGTCCAGGGTGCATCCCCACACCCTTTGTAGAGTTTGTAAAATGATTTACAGGTCATCTCATTTAAGGATCCCTGTGAGGTAGGTGCTATTTTACAGATGAGAAAACTGAGTCACAAAGGGGCTAAGTGACTGGCCTCTGGGTCACAACAATAAAGTGCCACAGGTGGGATTCATTTCTCTAAATCCAGGACACTCTCCACTTTGCCACCCTGTGAGAGAGATGGACAAGAGACACACAGAGAGAAACAGAGTAAGACAACTGCTGTTGAGGAGGGGGTGTAATTCTTTCCCCTTTCCCCTCCCCTCCTACTAGGGTTCTTTAGTTTCATTGCCCTAGGCACTCCTATCACCAGTACTCTAATCTTCACTGCTCTTAGGCTGAGAATCAAGTAAAGTCTACACCAGTGATGTCAAACTCAAATAAAAGTTGTTACTCAGGCTTGTCCCACCCTCTAGGACCCCCTGGACCATAGCCTGCCAATACCATCCATAGGATTTGCTATTTCCTTCTCCAGTGGATTAAGGCAAATGGGTTAAGTGACTCACCCAGGGTCACACAACTGGTATCTGAGATCAAATTTGAACTCACTGAGCCACCCAGCTGCCCTGAAATTGAAATAGGAGCTGTTAAGCCATATGAAAAGATCACTGAGGGTCACATATTGACTCAGAAAACTGAATATTAATATTATGTACATTCTATTGTGTTTCTATTTATTTTGTTCAACATTTCCCAGTTATATATTAATGCAGCTAAGTGTGCATGACCCTTCTGGTCTATACAATACAAAGGAAAGAATCTATTGACAAAGGTCAATAGCTACTAGGCAGATCAGAAGAGAAATAGACTGTGGTCTACATGGGCTGGCCTTGCTGTCACCTCTCAGGTCCCTCCTCCCAGTGACCCATAACCTCTCAGGTGCTTCCCTAGGTAATCCCTTCCTTCCCTGGTCCAAGGGTCAGTTGTCTTCATCCAGGGATTCTTAATTTGGAGTCTCCGTTCCTATGATTAGATTTCAGAGGGGATCCAAGAACTTGATTGGAGAGGTGGGGGTAGGAATTACATCTTTCAGTATAATTGGCTTCCTATATGTCCCTCGGTTTCTCCAGACTGCCTATGGGTCTATGACTACCACACACACACAAAAAAATTTAAGAACCTTTATTCCTTTTCCAAGGAAGTGCAGAAGGAAGATGGAAGGGATAGAGGTAACCTCAGAAACACCAGCCTGGGGTCAGGCTGGTAAATTTCCTTCCTTATTTGCAAGGTTCTATTCCTGGAAGCTCTCTATGGGGACTAAAGCCACTCCAGCCCCAGGGTCCTCTGGGAGAAGAACATTCTGAGATGAGGGTATTCTGGGTTCTCCTGAAGAGGCAGAATTAGGGAGTTGTGGCCCAGCCTGGGTGGTGAGACAACTCACACAGCCCAATGGATAACCTAAACATTAGCTGTCATACCTTGGGAATGGGAAGGGGAGTGCTTTGCTCTCTTGCCAGTAGTCAGAGTGAGGAATCACCCTGCTATGACATAGAGAAGGGCGGTATTTCTGAGGAAATAATTCAACAGTAAGAAACAGCTGCTCCAGGCTGGGTGTGGGGTGGGTATTTCTCAGGAGCAGCTGAGGCCCCCAGGGATAAAGGTTGGGGGGAGGAGGGTGGTGCTGAGTGAGGAAGACAGGTGAGAAATCTGCTTTAGTGTACAGAGATTTCCCCCTCCCCTCATGGTGAGACTCAATCCTTGCCCGCCTATATTTAACTCTGTGTCTAGGGGACTGGTTTCCAGTTTCACTGGGAAAGCTGTTTCCCTGTCTCCTGGTCTAGACACAGAGATAAAGAAACAAAAATCCAAACTGGGGAGTTGAGGGGAAACTGAGGTCATTGAGGGTAAGGGAGTGGAACCCCAAAGTACAGGAGGCAGGCCCCTGAGATCCTCACTGGTGTGGTGGAAGGAGGTAACCACTCCCCCAACCCGACTCTCCCCACCAAAAAAAAAGAAGTTATAAGAGCCAGTCTCACTTCTGGAAGAGAGACCCTGATGCCCTTGGACACCACACATGGCAACATCCGGGAGCCCTGCCCCACCCCCTTTCACCTCGCTCCAGGATACCACAAAGCAGGAGAGTAGCGTCCTGCTCCATTTCTCTTGGCCCATGGGCTGTGCTGGACCAGACTTCTGGCTAGAGATGCTGCTGTCTCTGCCTGCACTTCAGATACAAATTTTGTTAAGGGTGAGGAGCAGGAGCGAGCAATCAGCCCAGGTTCTCTCTAGAGCCAATAAGGCAGAAGGCCTAGAACTGTCCCTATCAGAATGAAAGGAAGTTCTTTTTGTGTCTGTATTCCCAGCACTCAGCACTATAGTAGTATGGCATAGGCTACTATCCTATACTACAGCGTGTATATCTGTGTGTGTGTGTGTGTGTGTATACATATTTATACTAACAGACTATAGACTATAGTAGAGTAGTATAACATATGCTACTATCCTATACTATAGCGTATATATATGCGTGTGTGTATATGTATATATTTATACTAACAGATTATAGACTATAGTATAGTAGGATAGCATATAATTGGTTGGTTATTTCCCTTTGCTCTCGAAGAGAACCAAGATGATATCACCATGCTAAAGTTGAGTTACCGTTTGTCTGACTGTGGCTGATCTGACCAACTTGAACTTGGAATTCTCAACCCCAGGATGGGCACAAATAGTTCATGTGAACATTTGGGGTAGAGTCTCTAAAGCTGTGCATCTCAAATTTTTTTTGACAGGAGGCATTTAATAAAGGCTTTCTGATGGAAAGAAATCTAGAATGAGGACTACAAGGGACCTTATGGGTCATCGTCTATTCCAATTGACTTTTCTTTTTTAATAGATGAGGAAATTGAGGCAAAGAGAGGTTAAGTGACTTATTCAGTGTCACAGGTAGTGAGTGGCCCTGCTAGGCTATGAATCCAAATCCAAGGCTCTCGGCCGTATCCCCTCCTGCCTTCCAGAATCTGCTTTCCCCTAATAAGCGAAACCAGCCATCTTCACCCTCATCTATCCACTCTCTGATTCCCTAAAGCTGACCAAGCTAACTGTGGACTGGCAGCATTGGCCCATTTCACAGGAGAGGTAACTAAGGCTAGAAAAGAAGTCAGGAGTTTTACCAGTCCAGTGATGCCCAAACAAATTCCAAGGCAAGAGAAACAGGGCCCGCTGATTTCCTTTTGGCTAACAAACAAGTGGAGTAATTTGTGAGGAGCAGAGGTCCCCAGACCCTCTCCACTCTAGGGCAGAAGTTCCTCATATATTTCCATTCACTCCCTG